GAAAAGGCAAAGGCTGCTCACTAAAAACACGCATTGGCTCCCGACCCACACCCACCTTGTCAGCATCGAAGTTCGAGCAGTGCGTCACACCAATCTGCTGTGACGCATGACCGTCCAAAAGCACCTGCTGTATCGATGCGTTGGGCAAGAAGTAACGGCGCCGTCCTAGCTGTGTGTAGCCAGAAACGTAGCCCTTATGGGACAGCAGGTTTAGCTTAAAGCAGGCATCGAAATGTACCGAGTGCAAGCTCGTGGGGCCAGGCCCTGCGGCTTCGGGGCTGCAGGTGTCCCGAAGCAGCCAGTCAGTCGACGCGAGCACTGCCGCCCCTAGCACTTCAGCGCCCGTGGACACCGCTGCCGCCATGGTTTCTGGGGCTGCTGCGCCGGCTGACGGGACTGGGGGGACGGGATTGCCCTCAGTGGCGGCAGGGCTGCCTGCTGCCGCCACCTCTGTGCGCTCCAGTCCAGGATCCGGCCCCTCCACTGCTGCTGCTTCTCCCACGACCCCCGGCGATGCGGCACCTGTAACAGGGGCTGGGGCGGCTGCGGCCGCACCATTCACTGCACTGCTGCACCTGAGAGTGTCCCCACAACAAGGGCACCCATTCAGAGCTCCACGGGGCCAGGTGCTAAGTGTGCCCTCCGGGTAGTCATCCACGACGCCCTGGCAGTCCATGTACAGGAGGAGTGCTTGCCGAAGGCGTTTACGAAGTGTGGTTGCCGAAACAGAAACTGGACGGCGGATGCCATTTTGCTCCCAGGTGTCAAGGAGTGCAGAGCAGAACGCGTCCGCACTCAGGTGCCTGCTCCTGAATGACACAAGGTCGAACAGCTGCAGGAGCGACTGGTGCCACCAGAGAACATGCTGGCCGTCTCGCTGGAGGTGGAGGTCCCACCCAGCCTTAGCGTCGGGTAGGCAGTTGAACTCTGTGGGACGCATGTTATGAAACGCCCGACAGGGTGTGCACCAGCACACAGGGACATCTACGCATATGGGTTGCTCCCAAGTAATGATGGTCACAGGGCAGGTCCGTCCCCCTTCGGGGGAGCGCACGGCGCACCGGGGGCACGCCTCAGGTCTGCTTCCCGCCAGGCTGCGAAGTACGCCAGCGCTGCTGTTCAGAAAGCAAGTCCGGCTCTCCGCGGCTGCTGCAAAGTCACGCACGTACGCTTCCCGCACATCTTGTGCTAACGTGGACTCTGGTCCGGGCTCTGGTTCTGGTTCCTCCTCGGCTGCGCTGAAACCGTCAGCATCTTCCGATGCTTCCACGTCGCCAGCGTCTTCACGGTGAATCGGATCAAAATCTTCGAGCTCATAGGTCGCGTCGTTATCAATGTTCACCGGCGCCTCTTGCGCATTGGCACTTGGGACAGCTACGTTTGTCGAAAGGCTCGGGGGCTGGGCATTCCGAAGCTGCTTTGCTCTATCCCGTCGCCTTTTATTCCTCTTTGCATTGGCAATGCTCTTCTTAATGGGGTCCTCGACCTTAAGCTTCATCAGCGAGTGAAGTTGGTAAGGCAAAGCTATTGTTTGTATTCACCTAACCAACAGAGCCAATTTCGCTTACTAACTGTCTACCTCATGCAATGGGAAATTTCGTTTGAAGCATTGGTTTGCTGTAGGGATGGGTAGTACATGCCGTACAAATTGGTATGGTGCTGGGCCGTCGGGAAGGTCGCCGGGATTGCGGGAAATCGATGGCGCTAGGCGGCGCGAGTCACTCCTGGACCTTCCCTAACTGGTCGGGCGCGTCCGGTGAGGGCGCTTCAGCCACGGCGAAATACTCCCCAGGGAAAATCGTTTGGGGAGATTCTCAGGCTCCCCAAGGGGAGAGAGCCCCGGTACAAACGGCCCTCCCCAACGGCAGAGGTCCCCACAGCTTGGGGACGCTGCCATAGCTGTACATTGACGTATGTATGTACAGCGGCAGGCCCGAATGATAGATTCGTTTCACAAATGGTCTGCTGATGTGGTCCCCGAGGGCCCTACGTAGCTACCCCGGGGGATTCTCCCCGGGGGTCTGGGGCGCCCTCGCTGCAGCTGTAACACCTGATACTACCATCCGCATACAACGAGCACTGCGTGCATTCTTCATCGTTCCTTATTACACTTCAGCATATGATCCACAACCGCCACCGAAAGACATGCATGGCTTGCAGTATTAGTGAGCTTTCTTAACTCTGCAGCCTTGGACTCCGACGTCGTGCGTTGCTGCTGGGTCCCCGTTGGTCGTACATTTTTATCACACACTCAGGCACATCAAAAGCGCGCACACCTAGTGTGCTCTG